TGTTTCTTTTCTCGTTATTGTTGTTTCTTTTCTTTTTCCTCCAACAACTGCTGTAATATCTCTTCTTGTTTATTTTCTCGTTCTTCTAGTTTCTCTTCTTGTTTCTTTTCTCGTTCTTCTAGTTTCTCTTCTTGTTTATTTTCTCGTTCTTCTTGTTTCTTTTGCTGCCATCAAATCTGCTAAGATGTAGTTTGATTTGCCACCTCTGGTTTCCATCTTCTTCTTTCTTTTTTGTTTTTTTTGTCGTTTGTTAATTTCCCGTATGATTTCTTTCGGATGAAACTTTAGCGATACAAGTCCTTTCTTAAATAAAACTAGTTTATTCTTTCTCAATACAACTTTGCAATACACTTAATTTCCACAGTCACTTTAAATTAAACACACGCTATAATTCACAACGATTCATGCACGTTACTTACAGTCACTACCGCGCTTGACTCAATTGTCCGTCTCTATCTCTGCCTATCTGCAATTATCTATGCCGTCACTTCATTTGCCGGCTTATATATACAAAAATAGAGGGCGCGTAGAAAAGACTAGAGTTGCCAGGAACAGACATGATCCTTCTAGAGTCTCATGACGTGTTAGTAGCGACACGTGACTTCCGCTGTCGTAACACTATTTTCACATTCCCCAGTAGACAATCACTAAATGTTGCTATTTTTACATTTCTTAGTAAAGAATCACTAAATGTTGCTATTTTTACATTCCCCAGTAAACAATCAATATATATTACTACTGTTTCATTCTTCAGTAAACAATCAATAAATGTCACTACTTTTACATTCCTCAGTAAATAATCAATAAAAATTACTACTTTTACATTCTTCGGGGAAAAAAAACTCGTTAAAAAAGCAAGAACGCAATAAAAATTTTTGTCAGTTATACCATTGTATAGCATTTTATTATTAAATCAGTAACTAAACCTTGGAACTTATGGAATTATATAATTTCACTAGAATAAGTTAATGTACAAATGTACATATCTTCTTTAAAATCTCGCCGTAGAAAAATACAGGTAGAAAAATCGTGCTATGTATATGTGTGTGTGTGTGTGAAATTTGTATTTATTTTTTTTTTCCTTTTACACTTACCTCAAACGGGAAAGTATAAATATATATTATTTTGTTTTATTTTACAAAATCGTGACGGCATAGAAACTTAATTTTTGATCTATTTCCAATGATACATATAAGTCATTTCAGGTGGGTGTGATCATCTGTGAATGGGAGGTATGTTCTCTGAGTTGCCTTAACTATGATTTATAGGGCAAGGATATATGTTAAACGTAGCATTTTAGATGCATCAGCATGTTTCTATGTCAAGAAGAACTAACACGTACAGTCACTGTTTTATTAGCTCTACCAGAACATCTACTTTTACAAGTACGAGCGAGAGTTCATAACTTAGGAAGTATAGCTATCTAGCCAGAACTTATTGGTTTGCATAACACAGACATCAATTTGCAAGGTAAGCCTTCCAATAAATGCGTACAACATCTGTTCCTATCTGTATGTTTTTTGCTTTAGCTGTATTTCCACTAAATTATTATTTCTTTAGAGGAGAAAAAGAACACTCATATGTTGAGTTACGTTTATAACGTAACCGTAAACCTATGTTTATCACGTCATTTTTTACTCTTATTACATTACACGTAAACACAGGTTTACCCGTACATTCGACATTGGAATCGCACTCGCCCTTTGAACCCAGCTGATATGATAAAACATAAATACATAGGTATAGTTACATATGTTACTGCAACAGACAGTGTTAGTTTCTTGCGTAAAGACAAATATTTTTTAACAAAACTGAACAGGTAAGACATTATATTTTTAATTCTCAACAAACTAATCTATTCGAGATGTTTGTCATTGAGTTAACGTCAATATTCTAATAACATCAATCGTGATATATGTACATTATTGAGAATTCTTAAGTAGACCAATCATGGTACTTGTACATTCTTTCTAATTTCTAAATAGCTACAATGCTAGTGTAACAATGCGTGTGTTATGATTTGAATTAGAATGTGCATATCCATTATATTTTTAATCTGGATTTATCATTACTTCTTGTAAATTCTAAAACGTCAATTTAATACATCTGTCCATCTCTTTTATGACAACCAGATTTTTATCACATAAGCAATTCTCTAAGAAGTTTAAAATTCTGTCGAATTCCTTTTCTATTGACGAAGAATGCCCATGAAAGAATTTTCAAAAGCCAAAAGCTCAGAAGACCTTCTCTCTCGTCAGACATCGTATGCATTTGAAGGCACAGAAAAAGTATACTCTCATCGCCGTACAGCTTCAGCTGAAGGATTACTAACATCATCGTCTAATAAGAAGAACCAAAATGCTAAAAATAAAACGTTACCACTTGGTCAAGGTAAGTTCAAAAATTGGTCAATATTTTTATGTTTTATATCCCTTAGAGGGAGGCTATCTTTCAATATTAAATTCAAACTTTATTTGGTGTTAAGTACAAAGTTACATAATAAGTATCAATATGCACTGTGCCCACCCATCACAGGGATCGAACTTTACATTTTAGTGTAATAATGTTTGAAGAATTTTGTTCCAGTTTGATCTTTGTAAAATTATAGACATAAAATAATCTTGAACGTATTGTTGTCAAACGTAAGATTATGATATTGTGTTCTGAGTTTTTACAATGAACTAAAATCTACATAGAAAGTTATTCAATTAGATGTCCATTTATTTCTAAAGAAGTTATCCTATATTGTAGGATAACTTGTAGTATTGTATGTATGTACAGTTCTGGAACTAACAAGGCCAAACTTGGTAAGCAGACTCGGGCGTAACCTCCTACTAAAGGGGACTAAAACGCCCCGGAAGGCCGCCTAAGCATTAAGATGGTCTAAGGGTGGGTTTTAGGGTCACTGAGCCCGAATCGCATTGGATGTTCTGTTCCTGCCACCCACCCCCCTCGGGATCCCAGGGATGCTATGTTTAAAACTGCATCCATATCCTCAGTTACAAGCTAGCGGGACCACAACTTGGCACACGTGCTCAGGCACCACAAACAGATGTCTTTACAAACTTTTTTCGGGTGCATCCCACCCCTTTTGAAAAGCTATAGAAATAATTGTGGATAATGAAGGAGCTTGATCGATACATTCTGGACTCTGACAAATGATGGGGAGGGGTTTGAACTCCACAGCGGAACGCGGTTATTTTATACTAGTTTCAATAATGCTTAACTGCGGGATACAAGACTGTACGCCATAACATTCTTGATATTACTTAAAAAACAAAACAATTATTAATGCAAAAATAGCTTTATTATTAAATACTAAATGCAATTGCAACAAAGAAGTTCAAGTTCTCTAAAAATTTTGCTCTAAGAAAATAAATAGTTTATTTAAACTACACATTCAATACTCAAAATATTCGTTTAACAGTATTATTATAAACTTTTGGTGGGTGATGTATACAAATCCTATGGTTGTGCAATCATCAACAGGAGTGCAAAATCTTTTTAGATTTTATCCGTACGTTAATAGGCTGTTATCTTATTAAATGACAACACACAAAATTTGCACTTATTCTGCCAATATCACAAATATTTTAAGCATATGGCTATGTTCTAATATAATATTGTTATATATATTATGACAATCTTTTATATTAATGGTGTTATTTTTCTCTCTCCTCCTCCTCAAAGAGCCGGACGTGGCCTAGTACGTGACTATCGGTCTATAAATTTCAAGGTACATGGTTTACGTCCCGTTGCCGCAAAAACTTGTTTCGCACATTAAAGCCGTGGGCGTGTTTTAAGTGTGACGTTCAAATCCTTCTATTTCATTAGAGTAATCCAAGAATCGGTATGGTTTTTGTTAACTAACCGCCTCAATTTAATCTATTACTTGAAAATGAAGAACGGCTAGTGCAGAGAGCTGTTGTGTAGATTTGCGGAAATTTTGTAAACAAGACAAACAGACTTTTAAGATGTACTGTAAGAAAGATTAAATGCAAATGTCCATAAGCAGACTGATTTGGATGAAAACTTTCCCAGTCAGGTTGTTATTTTTGTACAAGATCGTCTATTTAAAATAGATATTATTACTGATTAATTCATCTCTGAGAGCATTAGTAAAACCACCAATAATCCTAATCATAAGATTCGTCCATATTCATCTGAATCTTGGTTTGTTTGCCTGAAGTAGGCTCAGACTGAAACTTGTAATGATGTATTTGTGAAGCGATAGCATTTGCTGCTACATCGTGTATTCAATATAGAAGTTAAATATACAGGAAAATAAGAACAAATTTACATTATAAATAATATTGAATTGGTTGAAGTTAAAAGCTATAAAAAGTATCTACGTAGTCTTATGAAACAAACAAAAATAAATTACTATAATAAAACATATTTGACAGTAAAACTAACATTAAAAACAATGTAATACATTAATTAATAATATTACTGAAAAAATCCCCAAATTCAACAGAATAAGAAAATATTTTAGTAGATAATATGAATATTAAATATAATGAACAGCCTTATTATACTTCAGTTATTTAATGCATTTTTCATATGCAGTGCAGAGGATATTGTAAATAAAATTAGCGTATTTGTTTAATTTTAGATCAATTAAATGAAATACAATATATATATATATAAAACCGTAAATTCAATATATCTAACACATTCTGGTTGATATGAAATCATGAAAATTATCAAAAATACAAAAGTTAAATCAAAACTTCTTTAAAATATAATTAATGAAATATTTATAAAAAGTTTAAATTCAATGAAGTTTTCTCAAATTCTCAATTCGGATACAGAAAAATTAAGAACACCGAATGCACTACGTAAGATAATTAATGAACAAAAGATTTTATTAATGACGAAAACATATGCACTTTTTTAGATATGTCAAAAGCTTTCGATACAGTTTAACAAAAACATTTATTTAAAAATGGAATATGAGGTGTTGTCTTAAATTATTACAACCTGTTAAGATAGGAAACAATGAGTTTAAATTAGTACAATCATAAACAATAAAATGGAAATTACTTCTGGAATACTCCAAGGATCAGTCTATTATTACTTTGTTTTATTTAAATGCTTTATTTGAAATTAAGTTTAATGCGGAAATAACTAATTTTGGAAAAGATTCAGTATTTATTTAAATGAAAATTCTGATAACGATGTTATCAAAAAGTATAATGATTTAAAATCTGTATATTATTTGTTTTGCCGTTAAGCATGAAGTACACAATAGGCTATCTATGCTCTGCTCACCACAGATATCGAGGTCCGAATAGTAACATTTTAAGCTGTGAGACTTACCATTGAGACACAAGGGTCATTAAAATATATAAAGTTATGTTTGATGAATATTTTTGATGTTTAAATGTTAAGAAAATAGTTTATATGAGATTTTTATCAAAAGAGAACTAACTATATGAGCTAACCTTATTACTCTTAGAGGAACACTATATAAAATAACCCTATTATTCCCAGGGGAGCAATATACAAAATATCTTTATTGCTTCTAACTAAATAATCAAACAAAACATGAATCTGAGAAATTAAAAATTATCATAATGAGATAGATATTCCAAGTCAAATCAAAAGACGTCTTTGATAATAATTAGAAAAATAAACATTTTTATTTCGATAAACATCCGTCTTTGTTCCTGCTTTTTCGGCTTAATATTTAAGAACATTATCGTATTCAACACAATTGTGTTATGTAATTATACCAATTACAGAAGCAATTATCCAGAAATCTTTTTTTACATTACTTATTAAGTATGCCCCTCCTCGCCTTCCCGTGGCTTCGTTTGTTTGTGGTTAACAACAATGCCACACATTCGGCTATCTACCCACCCCCATTTAAATGTTAGTGTCGTAAGCCTACAGATTTACCGCTGAGCCAGTAGGGGGGATGCTCTCCATTATTTATAAAGCTGTTTTATAATTTCACAGCATTATACTAAACTATTATATTTAATATATTTCAATATACTAGAATATATATTTAATATATTTAAGAGAATTTATATTCGTTACCTGTATGGTTCAATTTCAAAAGCCCCCCAGTGGCACAGCGGTATATCTGCAGACTTACAACGCTAGAATCCGGGTTTCGATACCCGTGGTGGGCAAGCATAGACAGCCCATTCTGTAGCTTTGTGCTTAATTACAAACAAACAAACAATTGCCGGTCATGCAGATCGACAGCACTCATTTTTTCCCCTTGAAAACGCGGGAAACACACAATGATTTGCTAAAAATGAAGAAACTCTCTACAGTGATTTTCAGTAGCGTTCATTCTTCAAGAATATTGTTGTAAGACAGGGGAAGTGGATCGGAAATAAGCAGGTGTAGAAGTCGAGTCGATAAATTTTGCGGAAATGACAAAACAGTTACGTCACTTCTTGTTCAAGGTAGCCAGTTTCACAGTAAGAATGTGGTCAAGAGTTTTGTTGTCTGTATTTGGTACATTTAATGAATTAGATTTAATAATAATCTTGAATTAAATAGAACACTTAAATACTGTCAAAAATATAGAATAAGAATAAATGTTCTCAAAACTCAAGTAGTGTTATTCACTAAATCAACGAACAGCAAGCTACTCCAGATTGCCAAATTCGCAAAATTTCCAGGGTTACTATATGATTCTAAATTAACATGGACCAATCATATAAACGAAATACCAAATAGAACTTTGCAACGCGTAAATCAATCTAGGAGTTTTTTAGGTAATAACAAAGGAACATCAACTAAAAATATCATAATATATATATATATATACTGCATACATCAGACCCGTTATAGAATACGCATGTACAGCATGAATAAATGTTGCACTCACACAGATAGAAAAAAAAATACAAATCTCAGTCCTAACTCAACATTCCGAGTACCCATATCAACATTATCAACCTTCCTACACAAATATGGTAATATACAACCATTACTTGACAAACTCATTCATACAACCATAAAATACTTCCAGAATAATCTATATAAAAACGAACTTCTATGCGAAATAGACCGCTACTGCATACATGTTGGAAATGGAACTAAGTGCCTCTCCCAGTTAATACCTACATTAAGTACAAGAACAAGCCACCTACAGCCAGCATGTAATCGTATCATTAAAATGAAATATTATGTGTGTATAAAAGGGGTTTTATATGTAAGTACATCCTAGTAAGTTATACTGGTGAATATTAGTGTATGATTATCTATGGAACTGTTCGTGAATGTGTAAGACTTTCCCATAAACCTAACATAAGTGAAGTGATAATAACACATTAAGTGTTAACGGTATTACATACATGGACATGGCTCAAGAAAAGGGGTCAGAAGGAGTACTTGGACGAAATTCCAAATACAAATACTGAAAT